TTTCAAATAAATAAATCTTAAAAAAAAAAAAAAATCAAACTCTAGCAGCAGTATGGAAGAAAGACAGGAAAAAGAAATTACAGGCATTCAGGTCAGGTAAGAGGGGAGAGGCCAGCCTTTTAAAGAAGGCATTATCTATGGGAATGGAAGAGAGACCAATGAGAGCGAGCCAACAGGACTACAGACTTAGCTCTAAAGACATAAGGAGATAGTGATGTCAGCAAATGAGATGGACAATAAGAGAAAAGAAACAAGGAAGACAATGAATTCTCAAACATGCTGAGTTGAAGGTAGAATGTGACAGTAGCATGGAATTGCCATTTTCCATCATAAACTCTATTACATACCATTTGACATTTTAAGTCATCTAAGAAGTCAGGATTCAGAGCATGAAGAAGGGAAATATCCTAAGGTGGATCATGAGTTTAAGTGAAATATTTCTATTCTTCAAAGACTACATTCCCTTGTCAAAATCCAAGAAAAAATTTGGTGGAATCCTACTCAGAAAAACAAAAAAGGAACTAATGATATAGGCAACATCATGAATTAATCTCAGAAGAATTATGCTGAGTAAAAGAAACTGGGCCCAAAAAAAAGAGAATCTATACTGTATGATTCCATACTGACAAAACTGTGGAGAATATAAAGTAATGTCCAGTGACAAAAAACAGGAAAGCGGTTATGAGGAGTGAGGGAACAAGAATGATTCTAGAGAGGCATTTGGGGAAACTTTTGGGCAAAATGGCTATCTTCATTATCCTGCCAGACAATAAATGTCAAAACTTACCAAACTGTACACTTTAATATGTGCAACTTCTGTACCAATTATACCTCAAAAAATCTATCAAAATGTCGCAGAAAAAGATTAAAGGACATATTTGCTTTCTTTTCCAGTCAATCCTCTCATGTTAGGTAGACTTTCCTTACCTTTTTTCAGTTAAAAATCTCTTTTAAAATTATTCCTCTTTTTCTCCATCAGCCAAAGTTTTAAAATTAACGATTCACTATGAAAAATTTAAAAATCTAAGTCATAAAATTCAAAACTTCTGACCAATATGAACTAACCAATGTTGCTTCCATAAATTAGAGACCAAAGCAAACAAACTTGGTAACACTGCAAGTTAATGTATGATTTCTGTTACCTCAATACTGAAACTAGGCAATGTCATCAAACCAATCCAATCGATAAAGCCTCCCCAGGACATCCTCAGGTGTCAGGTTAAGATATACTGCAGTGGTGTAGTAGGCTAAGCCTCCTCCTGGGCGCCAGCATCCCATATGGGCTCTGGTTCCTGTCTCGGCTGCTCCTTTTCTGGTCTTGCTCCCTGCTAATGGCCTGGGAAAGCAGTGGAAGATGGTGGAAGATGGCCCAAGTGCTTGGGCCCTTGCACCCATGTGAGAGACCTGGAAGAAGCTCCTGGCTCCTGGCTTTGCGTCGACCCAGCTGCGGCCTTTGTGGTCATTTGGGGAGTGAGCCAGCGGATGAAAGAACTTTCTGTCTCTCTATCTGTAACTCTGCCCCTCAAATAAGTAAATAGACCTATAAATTCAAAAAATAAAAGAAAGAAAGAAAAAGGAAAAAGATATACTGCACGGGTGTGGGCACTTGGCACAGCGGTTAACAAGATGCATTCCATATCTGACACCCTGTGTTTGAGTTCCAGCTCTGTTCCCAAACCCAGTTTCCTGTTAATGTAGATCCTGGGAGGCAGCAGGTGATGGCTCAAGTACATGTGGGAGACCTGGATTGAATTCCCAGGTTGTAGCTTCAGCCTGGCCCAGCCCTGGTGGCTGTGGGCATTTGGGGAATAAACCAGCAGACAAGAAATCTGTCATCCTGCCTGACTGTGCTTTTCAAATACATACAAACATAAATCAATTTTAAAAAGATACTGCTCTAATCTAAAATCTTCCTCTCCTATAACAAGCCTAAAACAAACCTATTTTTAAAACTCCACTATAATGTACCCCAAAGTAATTTCATCTCAAAAATAGTAACCTTATTAATTAGGTACTGATATTCACGTGTAGCTCAAGTTGGTTTTCAGTTACAAAGCATGTATGAAACAATGGTATCTTCTAAAAAGAACTTACAGATAATTAACTAGAACCTTAAAAATTGAAGATACCTTACATGAGACAATATGTAGTGTAACTTCCTTAGTGAGCTTCAGGTAGGCCATCAAACATGATAGGCAATTCATCTTTCCTTTGATAAAAAAAAAAAAATTAAGGTTTGAATTCCCATGTCTTTGACCAAAGAGGGTTTCTGCACAAGGTAGGAAAGCTCCTGTTTGTCCTGGTGACTGCAGCTTAAGGAGATAAACACCCGCTGCCATAAGGCAGGAATGGAACATTAGCCTTCTAGGCCAAGTAAGCCAATCAACGCTCATGTCCTACATATAAAGGGACAGACATAAAAGATGGCCTTGGTAGGACATGAAATACACACCAGCAGAACACTACAAAAAGAGTTTACTCTATTCTCACTATTAGAATGATACGGCCCCTAGAACATTTAGAGTGATGAGTGATTTAGTGATTAGTAGAAAGCATAATGATCACATTTTTAAAAACAAAATACATATGTATATACTGCATATGTAACATATGTTCTGGATCAGGAAATATTCTGAAGTTTTGACTTTTCTGATCACAAGATCTTCACATTGCTTGTTTCTTAAGAAACAGAGTTAGCACATTTATTTTCATCCCCCTGAAATCAGGATGTCCCAACTGAAACCAGGCATCTTAAATTCCTACACTGACGGGCCGGCGCCGCGGCTCACTAGGCTAATCCTCCGCCTAGCGGCGCCGGCACACCGGGTTCTAGTCCCGGTTGGGGCGCCGGATTCTGTCCCGGTTGCCCCTCTTCCAGGCCAGCCCTCTGCTGTGGCCAGGGAGTGCAGTGGAGGATGGCCCAGGTGCTTGGGCCCTGCACCCCATGGGAGACCAGGAAAAGCACCTGGCTCCTGGCTCCTGCCATCGGATCAGCGCGGTGCGCCAGCCGCAGCGCGCCGGCCGCGGCGGCCATTGGAGGGTGAACCAACGGCAAAGGAAGACCTTTCTCTCTGTCTCTCTCTCTCACTGTCCACTCTGCCTGTCAAAAAAAATTAAAAAAAAAAAAATTCCTACACTGACAACATTCAACTGTGCAACCACGAGTAAGTTATGAGCTAAACGTGTGACTCTAAGATGTGGAGAAAGCAAGAGTTTGAGTCTCACAGTGTCTATGGCTTCCTACACTAAGACCAGATAGGGTTCCGCATAATCCATACTTCCTTCTAGGAATCTTGCTTAATAACAACCATGAAGTTTTAAATAAGCTTTTAGAAGACCATGGCAGATTACCAAAAATATACATATTCTTAAATTTGTTCAAATCGTCAAGAATACAATTCAGGTTTCTCCCCTACACTTCTTTTTTTTTTTTTTTGACAGGCAGAGTGGAGAGTGAGAGAGAGAGACAGAGAGAAAGGTCTTCCTTTTCCATTGGTTCACCCTCCAATGGCCGCCGTGCTGATCCGAAGGCAGGAGCCAGGTGCTTCTCCTGGTCTCCCATGTGGGTGCAGGGCCCAAGCACTTGGGCCATCCTCCACTGCACTCCCTGGCCACAGCAGAGAGAGCTGGCCTGGAAGAGGGGCAACTGGAACAGAATCCGGTGCCCCGACCGGGACTAGAACCCGGTGTGCCGGCGCCGCAAGGCGGAGGATTAGCCTAGTGAGCCTTGATGCTGGCCACTCTCCCCTACACTTTTAAAAGACAATGACAGAGATGTTTTACATACTGATAGGTGAAAAATAATTGCCAAGTGACTGTTACTCCTAAGGACACACTAATTATTTGCAACTGTTACTTGCATAAATATACATAAAATGTCATTCTAACACTCTGGCAGTCCATTAAAAGTTTGGTTGATGTTTTGGCACCTAAACCTCTGCCCTGTTGGTCATTCATTTCAAGCTGCCAGGAACTGATTTTTTGAAAATGTTTTTGGGGGCCTGTGCTGTGGCGTAGTGGGTAAAGCCGCTGCCTGCAGTGCCAGCATCCCAGTGGGTGCCGGTTCAAGTCCCGGCTGCTCCACTTCCCATCCAGCTCTCTGCTATGGCTTGGGAAAGTAGTAGAAGATGGCCCAAGTCCTTGGGCCCCCGCACTCGTGTGGGAGACCTGGAAGAAGCTCCTGGCTCCTGGTTTCAGATCAGCGCAGCTCTGGCTGTTGTGGCCGTCTGGGGAGTGAACCAGCCGACAGATGACCTCTCTCTCTCTCTCTCTCTTTCTGCCTCTCCTTCTCCCTCTCTGTAACTTTCAAGTAAATAAATAAATCTTTAAAAAAAGAACAAAGAAAATGTTCTTGAAACACAGCAATAAGAGATAGAATCCTTTAAAAATGAAATAATACCAGGCATTTTGAATCTAAATAATTTCCCATTGGAATTATTAAGGATAAAAAGTTGAAATATATTCAATTACGACATAAAAGGAAAGAAATGGGAATGCATAGCAGAAACATCCAGAAATGCTAAGAGATCATCCTTGATGGTGTGACTGTGAGAGTCAACATCCTTTCTGCTACAAATCTATTCATGTACATAATGGGCTAAACAAATCTACATAATTTAAATAACTTATAAAATGTATGTCTCTCCACTCCAAAAACGAGGTTAAGCTACCAAGATCATGACACCAAAGAAGCAAAATGATACTCCAATAGGTACAAAGAGTTGCATAGACACTCTTAATAGACCGTCATACTGCACAGAACTCAACACCAGGAAAAGAAAACCCTCCTCATACCAGAATCAGAAAAACCTACAGAAGCAAAGCTCGGGTTCCTCATTCCAGCTCATACCACAGCACAATCGAAACCTGACGCAAACAACCCCCACTTACTAAACAAATACTCAATTCCAGACACACCAACACCCTGCAGTCCGCCCCGCCACGTGCACACTCTCTGCACTGAAGAGATGGACTTAATTGTCCCTCTTCGAGAACCTTACTCAGAATGGCTACTCGCTGAGGAGTAGGAACCCGAGTCGCTGACTGGGTCTTCAGAATCACATTCCTCATCTTCTTCTTGGGAAGAGGGCTCTCCAGGGAGCTCGTTTGCGCTCCGAGGCAAATCGCACAAAGCTGGAGACGACATGGTCACGATGCAGCAGCTACAAGTGGAATTCAAATCTCACTGCTGCAGCTTCCCGGGGCCGCCATGTTGCCGCTCCTTGGAACGGGGCGGGGGCCACGTGACCACCAATCCTTAACTGCAATTGGCCGCAGCTCGGGTTGCCAGGGAGACGGGGAAGCTTCCCAGAGAGAACGCGCTAGACTGAGAAGGAGCAGAGAAGTTAACATTAAAAAGGGGCTGCGTCAGTTGGAGCAATGGAAAGAGCTGCCCGCTCACTGCCCCCTAAACGCTCTGCCTTTTGAGCAACAGAACTTATTAAAAATAGGAGACCATTGATTTCTCTCCTTTCCTTAACAGGGCCAGATATCTCCTAGCTTGAATTTTGTCCTCTTCCTGTTCCAAAGTTTTAGGGGTGCTCAGCCTGGATTTCCCTGGAGGTAAAGAAAAGCGCCCCTACCTTTCCTTAGGGCCCTGCATCCACGCCGAAGAACGGAAGTTTTTAAGCAAGGCCCTCCGTGTGCTAATGTAAATAGGCTCAATTGTTTCGTTGGTTTTCTTTTTTCTTTACAACACTTGTAGACATTTTTACAGTCCCCCCCCCCCAGCAGGTATTGCAATCAAATGATTGGCAATATGAAACTGCCCACGTTCGTTTCACACCCCAAAACTTCATAATCTGACTATGTGTTTTCATCACTGAAGTTGGAAGCGCAAACAGGTAAATTTTCCTGTCATTTGTTAATATCTACATCAAATATTTTTTAAGTACAAAACAATAGCGCTGATTGGCAGGAATTGTTATAATTACGTACTTGCTCTCGTCATATACGATGTTAAGCTAACCTTACACTATGAAGTAAATATTTTCTCTATATTAAAATAAGGAAACGGAGGCTTACAGACGTTATCAACTTGTTAATGGTTACACGACTAACAGGCAATAGACCCAATCAAGAAATGAACCTATGGTGTGGTCATTGTGGTACTATGGGTTAAGCCTTTGCTTAGGACTGACATCCCTTTGATTGCTGGGAGTGCCTGCTGCTCCACTTGCCATCCAGCTCCATGCTAATGACCCTGGGAAATAGTAGGTACCACACACGTGGGAGACCCTGATGGAGTTCCTGGCTCTTGGCTTCTCCTATTACAGCCATATGGGGGCAGCGTGACCAGTAATAGAGAAATAGATTTCTCTATTACTCTGCCTTTCAAATAAAAATATATATTCATAAATATTTTTAAAAGAAATTAACCTAAGCCATTAACCACTATATTCAATGTTCTCCTCAGCATCCAGTACAGTAATCTCAACTTATTGGCAGTTTTGTTTTCTTGTCTGAGTTACTGAAGGTCAACCATAGTCCAAAAATATTAAGTGGGAAATTCCAGAAATAAATAATTCATTAGCTTTAGATTGTATGCCTTTCAGAGTAGTGTGATGAAATCTTGTGTCCTGCAGCCCAGAACCTGAATCATCTCTTTGTCAGGCTTTTCCACACTGTCTATACCACCTTCCCATTAGTCACTTAGTGGCAAGATCAGTTACCAGATCAACTGTCAGTGCTCAGTGCTTGCCATCCCACAATGCTTGTGATCCAATAAGAAGGACAATGTTAGCCTAATGCTAAGACACAATGCCCAGGTCATTCATTTCCTCTCTTTGTATCATCTCACATCATCACAAGACAAAGGGAAAATACAGTGCAATCAAATATTTTCAGAGACCACATTCACATAATTTTTAATGCAAAAGTACTATTACTCTATTTTGTTACTAGTTACTGCTGTTAATCTTACTGTGCCTAATTTATCAATTAAGCTTTATCGCAGCTATGTGTGTATGGAAAAAAATACAGAATATATACAGGCTAGGTATCCCTAATATGAAAATACAAAATCTAACATGTCCAAAATTAAAAATTTTCTGAATGCTAATATGATGCCACAAGTAGAAAATTCCACATCTGATCTCATGACAGCTTATAGTCAAAACTCAAGCGCACTAAAAATACTGTATAAAATCACTTTTAGGTTATGTATATCAGGTGTATATGAAACATACATGAATTTTTTTTTTTTTGACAGGCAGAGTGGACAGTGAGAGAGAGAGACAGAGAGAAAGGTCTTCCTTTTGCCGTTGGTTCACCCTCCAATGGCCGCCACAGCTGGCGTGCTGCAGCTGGCACACCGTGCTGAGCCGAAGGCAGGAGCCAGGTACTTCTCCTGGTCTCCCGTGGAGTGCAGGGCCCAAGCACTTGGACCATCCTCCACTGCTTTCCTGGGCCACAGCAGAGAGCTGGCCTGGAAGAGGGGCAACCGGGAAAGAATCCAGCGCCCTGACAGGGACTAGAACCTGGTGTGCCGGCGCCGCTAGGTGGAGGATTAGCCTATTGAGCCGCGGCGCCGGCCAACATATAGGAATTTAGTTTAGACTTGGATCCCATTGCCAAAATACCTCATTATGTATAAACAAATATTCCAAAATAAAAAAATCTGATATCTAAAATACTTCTTGTCCCAAGAATTTTGGATAATGGATACAGAACTTGTATAGAGTCCAAATAAAGTATGCAAATAAAAATGAAAAACCAAAAGTAATTAAATGTCCAACAACAGGAAAATAGTTTAAATATACTTTTATAAATAAAATATTGTTGTGGAAAATTTAACTTAAACTAGATGGGCAGATGGAGACTGACAAATGGGCAATTATACAGTGATAAATTTTATGATACTCTGCATTGGGTTCTAACAGAATACCCAGAGAAAACCAAACTAGTACTGTGGGGTCACAGCAAATTTCTTAGAGAAAAACTTAATCTATGTCATTAGTATGAGATGGTTCCAACAGAGAAGAGTAATGGAGTTTGAGTGATTACATGACCTATAGTGTTACATCCCTGGAGAACTCAACAGAAGCTGCACAGTAGCAAATAGTAGTTTCACTTTTAAGCTGCAGTTTAAAATGATGGACATTTGAATTTCCTAGTTTTTATGGGCATTTTTGGTATTAATATCTAAATGTGCTTTTGTGTAGTTAAAACGGCTGTTGAATTTTCTTTTGTAATTTATTTGTGTTGATTTATAAAATTGTATTTTTATCTTATACCAGCCCCATAAGGCAGTTTATACCTTGTTTATTTAAATCATAATGAAAACAGTTTGTCATCCCAGGAATCTACAAGAGTTTTCTCCCTGAAAGAGGTCTGGGGCCTGCGCTATCGTGTAGTGTATAAAGCTGCCAGCTGCCTGCATCCCATATGGGCGCAGGTTCAAGTCCAGGCTGCTCCACTTCTCTGATCCATCTGATCTGCTATGGCCTGGGAAAGCAGTGGGAGATGGCCCAAGTCCTTGGGCCCCTGCACCTGTGTGGGAGACCCAGAAGAAGTTCCTGGCTCCTGGCTTTGGATCAGCACAGTTCCAGCCACTACGGTCATCTGGGGAGTGAACCAGTGGATGGAAGACCTCTGTCTCTCTGTCTCTGTCTCTCTGTCTCTGTCTCTGCCTCTCTGCCTCTCCTCTCTCTCTAACTAATTTTCAAGTAAATAAATAAATCTTTAAAAAAGAAAGAGGCCTATTGGTTGTGGAAGGATTATCAGCAAAGGGAGATCCTGAAGGTGGCCAGAATGGATAGCACCCGAGGCAAGGATGGAGGGATAGGCCCTCTCTAAACTCCTCTTCCCTAAAACCAGAGGGAAAGGCCAGAGGAGTGTGCAGGTGTGGATGCTCACTTGCCAGGTTCAAGCAAGAACCCATCCCAGTGTCCCTGCCTCAGTGTTTACAAGGAACTCAAAAAGTTCATGGAAAATAAAACTAAGAGGTAAGTTTATCTTGGAGCCAAAAATTTGAAATCTTTGCATAATTTTTCATAATATGTATTTTGTATGAACTTTTAGAAGACTCCCCATATTTTCTCTGGTAAGTAGGCAATAATTGGCTGTGTGAAAGTGATGTAGGAGTTTGGAGAGAGTGGAGCTAAAGGAGAACAAATATTTCTGCCAGCACTGAGATTTGATAAAAATATGTTACTTTTAAAATCATGGAAATGCTATCACAAAAACAAGGTGGAGTCACTATAGTAGTTATTTTATGGTTCATGGTAAAGCATACATATTTTCACCGCAATCTTGAACATTATAAATGACTAAGGTAGCCTTCTCAGAGCAGGCGGTGTGGCACAGTGTTAAGCCGCGGCTTGGGAGCCTGGATCCCATATCAGTTGCTAGTTTGAGTCCATGTACCTCCATTTCCGATCAGCTTCTTGCTCATACAACCAGAGAGGTAGCAGATGACAGCTCACGTACTTAGACCCCTGCCACCCACACCCAGATCTTCCATTCGCTGGTTCACTCCTCAAATGCTTACCACAGCTAGGGTAGAGACAAGCTGAAGCCAGGAACTTGGAACTCAGTCCAGGTCTCCCACTTTGAGTAGCAGGCACCCGAGTACTTGAGCCATCATCTGCTGAGTCTCAGAGTGCACATTAGCTAGAATCAGGAATTGGAAGCAGAGCCAGGACATCAACTCAGGCACTCTGATATGGGATATGGGCGTCCCAACTGGCATCTTAATCACTGCACCAAATGCCCAATCATCTATTATTTTCCTAAAATTTTCATACCTTGCTCCTTAACTTCAAATGGGACTTCATTAAATGGAGGATAAAATAAATGTAGTCTCTTTAAAACACTTTTTGAATTCTACAAATAATTTAGCACCAACTAGAAGACAGATATTTTATTCCCTGCTACATTTAATCAAATTAATCAAATGTGTCCTCCTTGCTTGATCAAAAGTGTGACCTGGGTCTTGTTAAGTGTAGATTTTGGAGCGCTACTCCACAGCAACAGGATCAGAATCTCTAGGGGAGAGGTGTGCACATCTACAATTTATACAAGTGCCCCTAGTGCCTTAGCAAACTTAGGAATTACTGGCCTAACGTTCCCTTAGTTCTTAGCCGCAAACCTACAAGTCCATTGACTGCTTCCTGAATAGGCTGGAATCCACTCGCACCTGCTGCACCTGAGCCTGACAGCCCTCTTCTTGCTCCAGTTCCTCATCTGTACAGCCATGAGCAAACCTCTCTAAGATTCACCTTATTTATCTGTAAACTCAGAGGGAAAAATGAAAATCCATGCATAGTTTTTTCCATAATCCATATTTTCTATGAAATATTTGAAGGCCTCTTGTAAATATGGATGTCAAAATTTTTGCACCAAAACAACCGTATTTTATTTTCATTTTCCACGAATTTAAGTTCCTGTATGTGTGTGTGTGTGTGTGTTTCATTCACGTTTCC